ATCCTTCCAGGAGCCCCAGATCCTTCCAGGAGCCCCAAACCCTCCCCAGATCCTTCCAGGAGCCCCAAACCCTCCCCAGATGATTTCTGGAGGCCCCAAACCCTCTCCAGATGATTTCTGGAGAGCCCAGACCCTCCCCAGATCCTTCCAGGAGCCCCAAACCCTTCCCAGATTGTCACCAAGGTCCCCAAATTCTCCTCTGGTGTCTCATCGACACGGCCGTCAAAACGGCCGAGACCGGTCAGTGGCCACCAAATTCCAACCCAAAGGGACGTCCTGGAGACCCCAAATCCTCTCCAGATCCTTCCAGGAGCCCCAAACCCTCCCCAGATGTCACCAAGGTCCCCAAATTCTCCTCTGGTGTCTCATTGACATGGCCGAGACCGGTCAGTGGCCACCAAATTCCAACCAGAAGGGACATCCTGGCGACCCCAAACCCTCCCCAGATCCTTCCAGGAGCCCCATACCCTCCCCAGATGCTTTCTGGAGACCCCAAACTTTCCCCAGATGCCACCAGAACCCCCCCAAGCCCTCCCCAGATCCCTGTTGGGGATCTCCTGGATCCCCCAAACCCTCCCCAGATGTCACCAGGGTCCCCAGCCCCTCCTCAGATGCCTCCAGGGGACCTCCTGGAGACCCCCAAACCCTTCCCAGATACTACCAGGACCCCCCAAAACCTCCCTAGACACCTCCTGGAGACCCCCAAGCCTTCCCCAGATACCCCCAGGGGACCTCCAGGATTCCCAAACCCCTCCCCAGATGCCACCAAGACCCCCCCAAGCCCTCCCCAGATCCCCTCAGGGAACCTCCTGGAGACCCCCAAGCCCTTCCCAGATCCTTCCTGGAGACCCCCAAGCCGTCCCCAGCCCCCCAGTGATCCGTGCCCCCCCCCCTCAGGGTACATCCAGCGCCGGCTGATCAAGTCCATGGAGTCGGTGATGGTCAAGTACGACGCCACGGTCAGGAACTCCATCAACCAGGTGGTGCAGCTGCGCTACGGCGAGGACGGGCTGGCCGGGGAGAGCGTGGAGTTCCAGAACCTGGCCACCCTCAAACCCTCCAACAAGGCCTTCGAGAAGAAGTGAGGAC